AATATTTACCAACACTATTATAAACACTCTCTATCTAGTGTTATAAATTCAAAAAATTTTTATTAGCACAAATGCAAAAAAAATATGCACAAAGAAAAAATTTATACGCGCGTTATATATACGGGGAGCACTGATATATGCGCAAATTTAAATCTATATGCGCTGCGCCTACTGCACTGATCCAATTTACATCACTGTCTCTATCTCTATTTCTTACCTCTACTTTAAACTCCTCTTCTTTAAACCAGTCTTTTCTTATTATTCATCCCACATTTGACTATACAATCTTCACCAAAAATGGTTTACATCTTGCTATCTTTTTCAAACCATTTCTAACTCAAACTTTCTCTGACCTAGCAAATATAGCAAAAAGCTTTTATAATAAACAAAACAATACTAAATCCAATATTATTGCAATACCTTTTACTTTTATTCATACTTCAATGAATACCTCAAAGCAGCTGTCAAAAATAATAATATCTATAATTTATTCTATGATAAGTCTATCTTCAAACTCATCAAACTAACTACTGACTCTACATATATTGGTAGAGTTATCTCTTACTTTGAAATTCTTAAAACCCAAAGCAAACCTTCTTCTAAATTTGCTTCTAATATAATGAAATTTATCTACCACATACTGAACAACTTATTATCAATTACTATAAAATTACTAAATCATCTTTCTCTAATTTACTCTTCTTTAATATCTTCCAAAACCCCCAAAACCAACCCCCAAATCTCAACAAATTCAATAAATCAGTACCAAAATCCCAACAGTCTTTTTAATAAAGTCTTCTGCAAAAAACATAAAAGCAGCTGCTGCCTCTAAAATAATGATGTTCTTCACATTTTGTAGACTATTATTAGAAGAGAATGATGTAACTAGGTAGTCAAAAAAGCCTATTTATGTGAAAGAATCAAGTAATAATGGTTAGACTCAACATACAGAGCAGACTCTAGATTTTTGCACAGCTGTGAAAGCTAGGCATATAGTAAGTAATTTTGCAAAAAATCTTATCCTCTCTTTAGATACCAAGTCATCCCACCGTTCTAAGAAGATATACTTTAACAAATTTCTTGACAAATATAATTTATTACTTTTTCCACTTATACAAACTCTTAAATTATTTCTTTATCATGTGGCAACTTAGTGAAGTGGTGGAGTGTTGCACTCCCAAATGGCAGGTCTAGAGTTCGAATTCCACAAACGATGATTTTAAAAAAACTAGATCTGTATCGGTTAACGTTAAGATTATCAGTTGGATCCAGATATCTGTAATCTTGGTCACACCATCTTGAATGGGAGCTTTGGCGCAATAAATCCAGAAAACTGGAATTACTGAAAACCTGTTTGGCAAGTCCTGAGTTGGGAGTAGTAGTGATCTTTGATAGTGCTACAGAAAGACTGAATTTGGAACCGGAAACTGAGACTGGAGAACCGAGCGACCAGGTCCTTAAGTGGGGGACACACTAGCCGAAACGCCAGCTCGCCACTGGAAAAAAAGACTTGTGCTCTGAAAGCATGTACCAAGGGGAGAGAGACCGTAAAGCACCTAGAGCCTGGGCAGACCAACTCTTCCGGGTTGCTAGCTGGAAGTAAGGGAGGGACTGATAAGGAATCTAGGAAAGAAGGAAGTTGGAACATGGGTACTGGGGTTGTTGTGAACCTTGCAAAGGCAGGAGTACATAAGTAGAAACTAATTAGGAAGGTTGTGGCTTGAGATACGAATCGGGTTATAGCAGTATCTGAAACAATAGCTTGAGATACGGACCCGGTAGCGGCAGCACAACATGTACTAGTTGGAAAAAAGTTACCAAACATGCAGGTGAGTATATGTGTGGGACATGTACCATTCTGTTAGGTTTACCACAAGATTAAATGCCCATGTGGCTAAAGTCTTAGGGTCCTTACACGGCATTGCTAATCTCATTAAGAGTGTTAGGGTAAGCATATTACAGAAATGGAGCCAGAGGATTTAAATGGGTACCCCATAGTTGGGTGCACGTACAGCAGCTAGTGTGGAACCTAGAGCAGACTACTTAAATAGGTAACCAAAAGTTGCATGTATGGCTAGTTGTACTCTTATTAGTTAAATAATCAGAGAGCTTAAATAGATAATCTCCTAGTTAGGTTGCAGGTATGGCAGCTAGTGTAAAACCCAGGCAGACTACTTAAATTAGGTACCAAAAGTACATGTGTGGCTAGTTGTATCCTCATGAAATTGATGTAATATCGTAATTATCTGAATAAAGCTAAGTGCCATAGGACCTAAGTGGTCACCTTAATATTAAAAAAAAAAAAAAATTATTTTTTTATCACTTGCTCAAACATTCTTTTTTCAACCTTATAAAATATCAGTTAATATTATTATACTTGAAACATATATATAAATGAACAAACTCTTCCTAGTTATTTAATTCTCTCACTAAATCAATATTCAATCTATTTTTCTTTTTCTATTTTGTTATTTACAATAGATTATCAATTCACTTATTTAAGTAGTTCATCAAAATTATAATATACTTTTCTATTCTGGTTTACAACTTTAACTTTATTTTAAACTTTGTTAAAATCTTAATTTATATATTAATTAAACCAATTTACTACAAAACAAACAAACAGATAACTTTCTTTTTCTTATACCTATACTTAATATTACTCTTTTTTTATTATCAACAATTCTATATCCTAACTACCTCCTACAATATCTTCACTACTTATAATTTTACCAAAACTTTCTATCTGATACAACATTCTTATTCTTTCTAATCTTTGTGAATATTTTGCTTTCTAATTAAAGAAATATTCTAAGATATAACCAACTTGTTTATTTTTACCATCATGTTCTAACTTCTGATTGTGTATACAATTGTTTATTTCTTTTAATCTTCTTCTTACAACCTTTTCTTTATTTTGTTGCAAACTATAATATTTATAATTAATTATTTTAAAACTATAATTTTACTACTAACTTCTATACACTAATACAGATACATATCAGTGCATTCTTGTAAATCCAATTTCAAAAAATTCATATAGATAAATATCTCTTCCAAAAATTTTACTTTTAGTATCCACAACTTCACTCTAAGACAAAAGTACTTCTTCTTCATAGGTTAAGCCTACAATTTTATCTTGAAGCAAATTTTCTACTCCTTTCAGTAGCAAACTTCGCTTAAAACTTCTTTCAAATACTGTCTAAAATAGCTTTGTTAACCTATTTTCTACTTCAACCCAAACAAAATTTAAAAATTTTAAATTTAATACAAATATGTATTGTACAACCCAAATTTTCTAATAAACCAACACGTGGTCAAATCAAGTAACCTGATTTGTAAATCATATCCAAATCAAAACTTCAAAAAATATACAAAATCAATTTTTATAATTCTACAAGTTGTAGTATAGTGGTTATGGAATATAGCACTACAAGGTCAAATATTCGAATCTCACTGGTAGCATGTTAATCCTGGTGTACTATTATAGCATTACTGACTATTGCATGAATATTCACATTTTGCTATTTTTTAAAAATTTTTATAGTTCTTTTAATTACTATTACAATTCTTTCTTTTATATCTCTTATATTGTAACAAATATTTAATACTGCAAATCTATATACTATATTATTTACAATACTATTATTTTATTTTATTTTTTGCAATTTATTTTTATAGCTTTTATTCTTTCAACCTCTACTATATATATTTTTCTCATATATTTTTCTATTTTTTCTTTTCTTTTCTTTACTTATATAATGTGAATATAAAACAATCTATTAAATAAAGCTGGTTAGGATTACATCACAGATCTGGGAATATAACGTTAAAGATCTGGGTAACCAGGTCCAGGTGGTCCCCACAATATTTGCCACCTCTCAAACCAAGCTAACTAATTAGCTCACAACTATCTTGACTCTCCACATCTTATATTTAAGTCTTACAACTTATACAACTATTCTTATACTGCAACTACTAACAACCTTCTTCTAGAACTTACCTTTCGCCAAAACATCAAAACTATTTGCTATACTAATATACTTGCTTTCTGGTCATCCCAAAATCAATTTCAAATATGAATATCTATCTCTCAACATATCAATTGAAATGCAACTTGACTCTATATTAATAACAATCAAAAAGTATCTAACTTTATATATAGCTTTCAGTCATCTACTCTTAAAACATTTTGTATTAAATTACTAGCAGATGAACTTCTTACACCTCATACTCTTTACAGAAGAAATCATTTATTTCCAACCACATACTATATATGCCAATAAACAAGCACTACTATACACTGGACTACTTGCTCCAGTACTGATTTTTTTCTTAACCTACTACAAAATTCACTATCACATATCCTTACCCCAAGTAAACTCTAAATTTCTCTGTCCAATACCAACCAGCTTTACAACCAAATTACTAATCTCAAAAGTCTCTATATACATCAGAATTCAGACAAATCCTCTCAACTCTCTACACTTTCTGGTATCATCCTTTTTGATATCATACATACAATACAAAAAGTCACTTCATCAAACCAAACTGCTGTCACACTTACTATTCAATTTCTATAAACTAGTATATATACAAATATTTGGATCCCCTACTGCAGTTTAAGGCCTCAGCCTCAATTTTAAAACTCCAACTACCCTTAGCTTCTTCACAATCAGTACCTTTAGAAATAAATATCCCACACACTACTCTATAAACAGCATATAACAAAGTATTACTTTGGTATCCTAACTGAATCAAATATTGCACACACCTTTCGCATATTCTTAATCTATCTCAAATCTAGGTGAGTCTTGGCCGCTCTGGTAGGTTTAGGCCACAGATAAGTTTCTAGGTTTACTTAGTTATATGTCTAAGTTCTTATTCTTAGTACTAGGCTTAAATTACAAAACCTTTTCCAATCATGTAAAAAGTTTTCATTAAGTTTAATAAAGATAAAAGCAAGGTTTCACCTTAAACATTAAAAAAAAAAAAAATTATCACCAGGGCTAGTAATGTATTCCAAACTATTTTAGAACCAAATTACGATAAAGCAAATTTTAATCAAGTTTTGGGATTTAAAATTACATATACTAAGTTAACAAGAACTGTTGTGAGTCTAAGTCTAACATATTATTACTGATATTAATAAAATGTAAAAAAAAAATCTAGATTTGATTTATTTATCAGCCAGTTGACAACCCTGCCGGGCACTATATCTCAAAAACCTAATAGCTAATTCATGTCAGATATGGGACCCCTCACAGCAAAAGAAGGGGCTCGGCAAAAAAATTTAAAAATTTGTACTTAAGATAATTTTATTCTAATCGATCTGATTCTTCGAGATATTGAATTTTTTTTAAAAAAAATTTTTTGGCCCTTTTGCTGTGAGGGTCCCATATGTTAAGCAAAAATATTCAGAACCCCCATCTAAAATTTGTACCATTATATATAACCCTTATATATATCCCAAACTGCATCCTAGCCTAAAATTTACCCTGCCGGGGCACTATATCTCAAAAACCTACTGGTTAATTCATGTCAGGTATATTAAGCAAAAATGGTCAGAACCTCTAACTAAAATTTGTACCATTATATATAACTATTCTATAAATCCCGACTGCATCCTAGCCTAAAATTTATATAGGTATTGAAGAGAGGATGTGAGTAACATTGTTTATATAATTATCTAATTGTTTTTGAAAATATCTTAGTATTTATTAAACTAATTTAAAAATAAAAGGCGATGAGGATCACCACTGGTAATTTGTAGTAAAAAGCTTAAATATATTTAAAATTAAAATTTTTAAATACATTTACAAATTATAACTAATCTTAAATAATAATTTCAACCAGAATTGTAATATGCACAATTTAAATTAAGAATATGATAAAATATGCTTATTGTGCTTATTTATTGCTGGAAATCTGGAAATCGGCAATATGATATATAATATACATATCTCAAACTTTTTTAAACTTTGAGCGAAGATATCTTGACAACCACTAGGCAAAATTTAACAATCTTTTTTATTTGAATTCTACTGATTCGTTGAATTCAAATAAAAAAAGGTTCATTAAATTTGACCTGGTGGTTGTCAAGAAACCTTCGCTAAAAGTTAAAAAAATTCAATAGAATTTTTCTTGAACTTTGTGCGAATATATCTTGACAACCATCAACTCAAATTTGATAAGCTTTTCTATTTTATTTGAATTCTATATTGGTAGAATTCAAATAAAAAAAAATTAATCAAAATTTGATTGATTCGATATACTGTATTCGCTCAAAGTTTGAGAAAATTTTCTATTTGTAGACTTGCCAAATTTGACGAATTCTTTTTTTTTTTGACAACCACCAAGCCAAATTTATTGTTTTTGAATTCTACATGTTCATAGAATTCAAATAAAAAATGGGTATTGAATTTAGTTTAATATTTAATCAGCTATCTTTATTCAAAATTGAGAAAATTTATCACTTTTAATAGGTGTTGAATTTTTTAAAACTTTGAATGAAGATATCTTGACAACTATCAAACCAAATTCGATAATTGTTTTTTTTTATTTAAATCCTACAGATTCATAGAATTCAAAAAAAAAAAAAAAACTTCATTGAATTTGACTTGGTGGTTGTCAAGATATCTTCAGTTAAAGTTTGAGAAAATTTTGATACAACTTTTATTTGAGAATTTTTTAAAAGTTTGAAAGAAAATATCTCAACAGCCACCAAACCAAATTTAATAAACTTTTCTTTATTTGAATTCTACTGGTTTGTAGAATTTAAATACGCAAATTTGACTTGGTAGTTGTCAAGATATCTTCATTCAAAGTTTAACAAAAAATTAAGAATATGATACAAGAAAAGGCTTGAAATTTTTTATATTATTCAGCTGCACAAACAACCAGTTCTTGTATATTAAGTATTGAAAAGCGAGATTGAAGAGGAATCTTGGGAATTTTTAATTGTTAGCAAGAAATTTAGATTTATTCGCTAAAATTAGGAATTTTGCTGATTTTCAGAGTGAGATGATCGGCAGGGTCACACTGAACAAGACTATTTTCAACTTTTGCCTGTATAATTATTTTTATTGATTAAATTTTAAATCCACTTATTAATACATTATGTAGTTATCTAATATTGGATTTATCAAAAAAATATCTATTAGATAAATAATTAAGACTATTGCTAACTTGCCCCCCTGGGTATGTCACCAGGGGTGCTATATCTCAAAAACGTACTAAGTAAACTGAATTGGGTACTCTAAGCAAAAATGTTCAGGACCCCAAAAACCTTACAAAAACTAAAATTGGGATCTTATATCCAATATATATTATATTATATAAAAAAAAAATAATAATTCCCAAAACTGCACCCTAACTCTAAATTTTAATAGGAGTGGTTACATCACCCCGGTTAAAAATAGTTAAAACCAATAATTAATACTATTATGAATCAATATTTAAAGATTTGGTTAATTTTTTATAAATATTTATAATCTCTAGTTTATGTAACAATTTTTTGATCCTATTACGTATAACAAAATATCCATATCTACCAAGGCTTTCTCATAATCTTTACCGTACAATAAACTTGAACCCGACATCATAATGCATTTTTATTATTTGATTTAATTTCCAATGATTTAATCAAATCTGCAAGAGATTCCTGAAAACTTTGGATATTCGCATCATCTGGCTCACCGTAAGGTATTCATTGTACGTCTTAACATATCGTATGTTTATTCTCGAGTTATTAATGCAAATGAATGATTATTTTCCACTATCATCAATGATTCTATTAAAGTTTGAAGTGATTCGTCATAGTTCTTTAAATGAATTTTTAATTCATTAAACATATTACATGCTTGTCCTCGAGTTTTTAGTGCACCAACCTTCTGGTTAAATTCCTAATAACCTTGTTGAATTATCTATCCATTCTCCGTATATATTTAATATTGTCCCCGAACCAATATTGCAATTGAATTTCTTGAATAAATTTTTAAAAAAGCGGCCGAATCCTCAAGAGATTTTTGAACAGTCCTGATTTAAGCGAAATTGCTGCGGTAACTTAGTGCAATTGTTAGGGCTATGCAAGTGCTGGCATGTGCTCTATTAAAACATAGCGCCAGGCAGGGGAACGGGCATTGTGTTTTAATAGTACGCGTGCAGGAATTTGCAGAATCCCGGTAATTGCATTGTTGGAAGCAATTTCTAATGATTTAGTTAAATCTGTCAATGATTCTTCGAAACGATTAATCATATATGTTTGACTTCGGGATCTTAGCCTAATTTCATTTTTAGAACTAGGCTTTAACAATTTGCTTTCTGAAAGAGATTCTTCATAGTGTCCTAATTTACGAAGCATTTTTCCTCGAGATCCTGGTGTATTCAGGTCATTTAAATCCTTTTTATACTTTAACCTGTGTAATGTTTGTTCTCGAAATCTTAGCGCGGCGGTATTACTTGGTTCTATTTTTAATGATTCGTTTAAATCTACAAGTGATTCTTCATAACGGCCTAACATATAGTATGCCTGTCCCCGAGATATTAATGAAGCTAAATCATTATTTTTAATCCTTAAAAATTTAGTTAAATCCTCAACCGACTTTTCATACTTATTTTGTTTTAAGTAGATAAGTCCTCGGAATTTTAACGCATCCGCATCCTCTGGGTTGATTTTTAATGTTTTGATTAAAAGATCAAGAGATCTCTCATAGTTATTCGTTTCATAAAAAAATAACCATTGATCTTTTAATTCTCTTGCTTCGTCTAATTTATGAGAATTTGATCGATTCGATATCAATTCAGGTTTAAGTCTTGGACTAGGTTCTTTATAAATCTGTACAGATGGTCCAACAGATAAAGTATGTGGAACGTTCCTGGTTAAAATAGGTAAGGGTCGTCGATTACGATTTATAATAGACGTTTCGGCAATTGTTTCTTCTGATATTGTATCTAGAGTCGTCAAAATTTCGGTTGTTTTTGGACGTTTCTGCGGATCAATATCCCAACATTTTTTATAAAGATCAGAAAAATTAGTCGGTGTACCAGGGATTGTATCTTCTCGGTAACCAATCAATATTTGTACGCTTGCTGCAATTCCATTAATAGCGCTCTCAAATGAAGCAGTTCCACTAGTAAGCTCCCAAAATATTATACCTAAGCTATAAATATCCGATTTTTCGTCACGTTTTTTTCCAGGTTGGGCATGGCATTGCGGATCCATGTACACCGCTGCACCATTTGAAGTTACTCGGGAAGAGACAAGGCTATCATTTACTTTTCTTGCTAAACCGAAATCCGCAATTAAGAATTCACCATCATTTATTAAAATATTTTTGGGATGCTAATAAATTATTTCAATTAAATAATAAGTATAATTAATTTAAGTCAAATTTTAGATTTTAATACTTACCAAATCGCAATGAATTATATTATTCTCATGCAAGCATCTCAGCCCAAGAGTAATTTTCTTCGCAATATCAATAACTTCTTTTAATGAAATTCTAAAAGTGCCATCCTGCCATTTGCTTTGTAAGTATTGCCGTAAGTTTCCTCCATTGGCAAATTGTAGTACCAATATTAGATTTTCCGTATTAGGATCTGATGTTATTAAAATTATATAAATATTATTTAAGAAATTTAGAAATATTTACAATATATATTATTTACAGTACCGATCGTAATCCCATAGAATTTGTTAATATGAGGAAAGTTAATAGCACGTAGTTGTTTGAGCTATTATAACATTATGACTCATTATATGGAGACCAAACGCTAGGAGATAACTAATAATGTATACCTCATTGACGAAATCTTTAGTCGCGTCTTTAGTTCCAAGGTTTTTCAGTGCGAACTTTTCCCCATTGTAGTCAGCTGAACTAATTAATCCAAACCCACCTTTACAAAATTAACACTTGAAAATTAAGCTTTTTACTCGTCCTGGTAAGAGTTTGGAACCGGTTTGATTTTTCATATGTTAAACCTGATTAAAACCGGTTTAACATATGGAAGTAAACCCGATTCCAAACTCTAGTAAAAAAAAAAAAAAAAGAAAAAGAAAAAAGAAAAAGAAAAGCAATAAATAATTTTAAAACTTTACCTTTTCCAATATCTTTGATAACATTTTCAAACAAAGAATACTCATAAAAGGCTATGTTGCCCTTTTGCAATTCTACTTTCAACCATTCAGAATATTTTAAGAAAGACATGATCTGTTTCTATTAACTATAGTCATCGTGAAAGAAAGAATATTTATATTATCACGCGTATCACACGTATTACACGTACGTATGTAACTCTCTTGGCATTTGGAAAATGTGTATCAGGTTGGTGCGACATTACATTGTTATTTTAGACCCAATTTTATATGGCCAAAATGATTATAACGTAATACAGTAATAAATTTTATAAGTAATAATAGGTCATAAGGTCATAACCCATTCATAAGAGGCGATGATTTTTTGTGATATATTTATTTATTTTGAAAAATAAATTGTCCCAATACACTGTGCATTGTGTTAGATGATATGACGCAATCAATAAAATGAAAATAAAAATAATAAACAGATTTCAAAATTAAAATTAGGTGCTAACAATAATATATAAAAGAATATATTCATAAAAAAACTTTATTATCATTATAGTTTTTTTTACTCTTTCATTTAATTTTTCTTCGCTGTACTAAGAAAACTGAACCTTAACTTCAAACCATTTTTTGGGAAGAATTTTGTTAAAATATAAACTTTTTTCAAGTTTTTATTAATACAAAAAAATCGACTTATTGAGGTAGAGTAGTTAACTTTAAATCCATACACCAAATACATAAACCTCGATATTTTAATTATTGTGAAAATTTGAGCATCCAAGACTAAACCTAGATTGCACTTACTTCAACAAAAGTTGTTGCTTATTTTACGATAATAGAAACGGTAAGATACAGATTTTGCAAATAGAATTAACCAGATTTTTAGGTCTTCAGAGAATCCTGTCATTATGGTGCACCAACCTGTAGTCAGGATTTTATTTATATGAAAATTGGTCAGCAACATAGTAAAAGACTATTCTAGAATCGATTTTACTCCAATAAATGCAGAAATAGTAATTTATTATTGTTAAAAAACAACCGGTAAATAAAATTATTTCGATGGAAATTTCTTGTCTGCACGCGTGTTCAAAATTGTAATTTAGTGCAACAAATTCACGCTTTTGTACAATAATATGACATGCTTCGAATTCATAATGATAACGCTATAAATGGCTAAGGTTAAGTTTGAAGTGGCCGGATTGGTATTACCGGTTTTTCTAGATAAGGGTAAGATCCTTATATTCAGTC